TATATATATATATATATATATATATATATATATATATATATGGAGTAATAAATATAGCCCCTCCAGAAGTATGGTTTTGTTTATGATGTCCCTTGTACATTAACCATCTGAGTTGAAAGGGCTTATTTTACGTTGTGAAGTCTGCTCTGTCTATTCTAGCCATAAGTCTCCATATCTTTTCTCACTACTTTCAATTATGTCTTTTTAGGCCTATCCCTTGCTCATTTTGAGCCTTCTACTTGAACTAACTTGCACCTCCTAACAGGTGTTGTATTGGGTTATGTGCCACACATGACCAACCCACCTAAGTTTATTTTCTTTCATCTTATCGCCTATTGGCGCCACACCTAAATTTTCTCGAATGTATTCATTTCGAATTCTATCTCTTCTTGTCTTTTCACTCATCCATCTCAATTACACTCATTCTATGGGTATGTTGTTTCTTGTCTGTCCAACGTTTTGTCCCATAAAGTAAAGCTCGTCTCATAGTTGTCTTATAAAATTTGCCTTTCAGCTTCTTTGGAATACCACGATCACATAAAACTCCAGTTGCACATCTCTACTTCGTCCACCCAACTCTAATTCTGTATGCGACATCTTCTTCAATCTCTCCGTTTTCCCGGATTATTGATTCATGATATCACTTGGTGTGGAGGTAAAAAGCTCGGGTAGCCAGCGCAAAAGTACAGGTTTTAGTCCTGAGAGCGGCCACATTGTGCACAAGCCAAAGGTTAGGACCGTTTCCAAACCACCCCTCCCGGGACCTTGCTTAGGCCGGTCCAACGCCAAGTTACAGCCCTTTTATCGACCCATGATATCAAAAGTGTACTCTTTTTTGTATTTTTTGATCGTCAATCTTAACTACTTTCTCGTCTCTACTCTTGTTATTACTAAATTTGCATTCCATATACTTTGTTTTTGTCCTACTAATTTTAAAACCTTTAGATTCTAGAGAATCCCTCCAAAGTTCTAACTTTGTGTTGACGCCATTTTGGGTCTCATCGATCGAAACTATGTCTTCTGCGAATAACATGCATCATGGTACCTCATCTTGTAGGTGTCTAGTTAAGTCGTCCATAATTAGATATGATCATAGATTTTAAGATATTATTAATTTTTTTTTACACCAACATTTTATATTATGATAAAATTTGGAGGTGTGCCTTAATTGAATTGTTTACGATTGCAACCTTATAGAAACCACACCTTTTTATATAAGGTTACAATTTATATGTGTAGAAATAAGATTGTAGTAATTTACACCGTCGATTTGTTGATACTGTTTTTTAAGATGTGTCAAATCTACCTCCAAATAAAACAAACGGTAAAAAATATCGTAACTTTATTACTACAATTAAGATTATATATATATATATGTAGAAAAAGATGGGATTAGCCCACTAGCTCAAATGAACATATGAGCCCAACGTCCCAGATTGAATCTGGGTTGATCTGACTATCACGGATGTCCGATAATGCTTGAATTTTTTTTTTTTTTTACAATCTAAATCACTTGAAATTTTAGGTGTGTATTCTTTTCATCAAAGCGTACCTAATAAAAATATAAAAACATTTATTCACAAAAAACAAAATGACCAAAAGACCCCCAAAAAATTTTCGAGGGTATTTTGGTCAATTTATTTTATGTAAAATATTTTTTTAAAAATTCATCTATTTTTTATGACCATAGCTTAAAATTTCAAGTGATTTAGATTTGTAGAAAAAAAACTAAAATTCAAACACTACCGGACATCTGTAATCGCCAGTTCGGCTCAAATTCAATCTGGGACATTAGGATAATATGCTCATATGAGCCAGTGGAATAATTTCATTTTTTCCATATATATATATATATATATGAAAAAAGGATAGAGAAAGAGTGGAAGATGCCAACAATGATATGTATACCTGAAGATGGCTCTTAACGTGAGCGAGGGTGAGACCTTTAACCTCCATCAGCTCAAGAACAAGCTTCGGCGTCGCTTCTATAACACATCACACAGATGAATTCCCATTCCAAATAACTTCCCAATGCTTAAATTAAGAAGATGAAGAGACAAACAGGGAACATTAATAAAACTAGACAGAAAGAGGTAGGTTTGGCAACGGGATGTGTCGGATCGGGTCGGGTCTGGCTCGACCTGGACCTCACCAAGACCCAACTTGGGGCTAGGCTTTTGGACCTGGACTTGGACTTAGACCCTAACCATTAGGTCCAAAACTTCAAATTGAGTCTAGGTCTAGAACTTAATGAAAATTTTTTAAAAAATATTCAAAAATATATATTTCAAGCACGCGCACACATGCACATGCACATACATCATACACATATACATAAAGCACACGGACTTGTAGTTTAAATGTGTGTATGTGTAGCTTATGTATGTGTGTGCATTTTAACTGTGTGGATATGTTTCGATCTTAGACCTGGATTTGACTTGGGCCTAGGGTTTTGGACCCGGACCCGACCCACCAAATCCAAAACTTAGACTCCCACCTAGAATAAGAAATAACACACTTGAATCACAATTTGTAGTTTAGACTAGTATCAGAAAGCCATTGAATTGATGAGGGATTTGATTTGATTAAAATTGATTCAACTTTTAATTAGATCGGTCAAACTAGATTTTATAAAAAAAATTTAAAAATGAATATAATATTTTAAGTTAAACAATTTGCCCACTATCATTTTGCTCGTTGA